AATTTCTAATAGTTCCACTTTAATACAATGTCTCATTTTCTCTCCGTATTTGATATTTTATTCAATAACATCAGATACACCTTATTTATTTTCATGTTGTTCACGTATTTTACTACAAAAACGACAAAAAAAGTTTGAATTAAAATCTTGAACTTACTCAATTGATTAGATATGGTAGATTTATGAAGTAAGACAAATTTTATTTGTTGATAATATTATAATTTAAATAGTGTTTTACTTTCTAGGATCGGGAATGAAGATTTATTTCATGTAAGAAGCTGATTATATATTTTTCATATAAATAAGCAAATAAGAGAAGAAATCGTTCAAGAAATTATTTATTTTTAAATGTATAATTATTGAATCTATTATATCGAAGATTAAATTCAGTGACGAAATATAATGCCATTGTATAAAGTAAACTGCGTAGCGAGAATACGATTTGAAATTTGGCCGAACTTGGACAGAAAGAAAAAATAAAAATGAACCTTGATTATAAACAAATTTTTGAATTCGAAGTCTTTTTTTCTTCTTGTTTTATTAAAACAATGCAAATATTCTCATAAAAACATTTTCTATGTAAATATATTTGATCTGTTTCGAGAAAAAATAAATATATTGCTTGTGAACGTTCTTGTATGTCAAGAGAAAAAACATCTAAATTTGATTGATTTTTTTAGACTAAAAAATTTACATTATTTTTCTTGGGAGTTTTGAGAGAGTTGCTATAGATTTACTAGACACAGAATATTTGATTTCTGGAAAACTTCCGCGGAGTTTACCAAAAAGTAATCTTGGTCTCGGCTCTGATCTGATCGGGTAGTCATCAAAAATCTGTTTTGCTTTGGATCGAGTCAAGAAAAATTAACCCATGTCGAACATTGATTGATATGTTTTATTGTTAGATATTATTCAGAGATTTTAATTTGCTTATTAATAGCTTGTGATGATAAAAATAAAGAAGGAAATATCTTTCATAAAATGCACTTTGAGAATAGACAAGACAAATAGTTTAAGATAACTTTATTGTACATAGAAAATTTTAATTAATAATTAGAATAAAATTATTCGTATTCTTATTTTTAAGATCGATAATTGATGCTTGGATAACATTCTTAAAATTGAAACTACTAACTGTTGAAAATATTCGAATTTTTTTCTCAATAAAAAACTTTGATAGATGCCTAATATGTTCGAGAAATTTTCAGGGAGATAACAAGAGGAAATCAATTTGAAAGTCAGTGTCTCCTTAAGAAATATCAGTTTAATTAGAAAAGTCCTAAGTTAGATTTAGAAATAAGCAAAAAAAGATAAACGACTTATAGATATAAAGTGAATCGATAAGCAGTTACATATTTCAAATACAATAACTTACTAGATGTCCAAGGAAAATCATCTAATCTCCAAAGACGTAATGTCTGTAAATTAGGCATGAATGTGCTAAGAACAGAAACAAGATTTTTGCTAACAGGAGCCGATTGATTTGAGCCACAATAACCACTTGCAAGACCGAATTCAGTCTATTGAATTCTACTCATTACATTTTTTTAAATTCATCAGATGCCTAAAAAATAAAATCAATAAGTCATGAAAAAGAACAGTCTTTTTTAAATAATGATTGTGCCATAATAAAAATGGCTGCGTTTTATATTTTATTTTCACATCAGCTAATACGGTTTATTAAAAAACAAAATATGCCACAAGATGCAATGTGAAAAGCTCCACAGTTTACATAAGACTACTTATTTTATAGTTGCACCCTTTGGTGTCAAAATGAACGAAATTCTATGTACCCAATTTTCAACGCTGTGTGGTAATTATGGTGACCATTGAGGCAGAGGAAGGAATGGAACGACTTCAATAGCTCTACTTCTTTTCTTTTTTACTATTATAATAAGATTTAGAAATAATATATTCATATAATATGCATCATTTCGCTCTTTCTGTTCAATAGTTCCTCCAGGACCACCCATTTTGTGTCTTACCATTCTTTGTCTACCAAGTTATTGGGAAAATTTTGAAACACATTTAATTTCAATAGTAGACATTTTAGTCGATATATATCATACAGCGCGCCCTCAAAATCTCTATTGCCTGTGAGTGAGAAAAACGCTTTGTTGTTAAAATTTCGTTTTTTTTTGTAATTTTTGAAAATTATTGATTTTGAAAGTCCGATAACTCGGCGACAGAGCAATGAAACAAAATATTTTTTTACTAATCGATAGTTTATAAAGTTTCCTACAAAAAATTTCTTGAGAGTTTTTAAGTCTCATACTTCTTCGACTTTATGCGATCGTTCTACAAATGGATCAAAAATGACCCATCAGAGAGTAAAGAGTGAGTCGATTTTAATCTTTGAAATTTTTCACTGGGTACGCATGAACTTGAAAAGCCCTGACCTAGAGAAATTTTGATCGGACAAAAATAATTTGAATCAATGCCACCTATCCACGATGATCAGATTAATTTCAATTTAGCCTATTTTCACGATTCATCGGACCGAATACTACTAAACCGGCAAGTATCTGTGTTTCATGATCGAAGCAATGATGAAACAATTGAAAATATGTTTTCCATTGCCGAATGAATTGTCTTCGGGTTGAAATACTCCTTGAAATTCTACAATCATATCAACATATTTTCACAAGCGTTCTTAGTACCCATATATATATTAAAATAAACAAAATACTTTCACTTCTTTTTCTAGAAGTCTAATGGATTTTCATGTAACTTTTAGAAATAAGCTAATGAGTAGTCATCGATGCCAGTTCACTGTATGATAGAGTATGGGAATGTATTGTTTATAGTTTTATGTGTTGATGCAAGGAGAACAAGATGAAGCGGAGAAGTATACATTGAAACGACTGATGAACAATATACGAGCAGAGTTATTTAGAGAAAAATCAGTTAAATCGACATGAATATGATTTTTGAATTGTGAAATTTGTCATTTGTGCGGAAGAATAGAATTAACACTTCTACATGTAATTGAAGAGATGCAGGTTTTATTTCCACTCCAGAAATCATGTTTTTGATTTTGATTCCGCGTTTGGGGTATTGAATATATGCTAGATATTTTCCTGTGAGTTCTTGATTGCTCGAGAAAATGCCTTTGCAAATTTATGGAGACCGTGAATACATTCGTACTCTATTCCTGCTTGGAATTTTTCTTCAGTTTTCCTTTTACGTTCATCGAAGATGGCAGCATTGAATTTCTTCCTGTGAGAAATCTATATGAAGCTCATCTTCACACTCCCAAGATGAAAGCAACTCGGATTGATGGAGATCGTCTCAATTAGTTGATCAATTTCGCTGGAATATTAGAAGATATGCATGAGTATGGCAAAGCAGAAAGTTATTACAGATCACTGATTCATCAGGTGTTTGAGGATAGCTTGACTCGTACATCATGCTTTAGCGGACTTGAAATTGTCGCCTTGAGGAATGACAAATATACAGAAGTCATTGATTATCAAAAGCAAGTAGTCGAACTGCAAGAGAGCTATAAACCAAAAGATTTCTTGCTGCTTTCCAAAGGCTACAACAATTTGGGTTGCGAATCGCCTATGACGCAAATGGCGACATGAGTGTGATACATCATCATTTTCAATGTTAAAATTTCTACTGTCCCACAATTATCAGAACATAAATATGGCTGGCACGTTCGAAGACAATTTTGATCAAACCAAAGAAATTTTCATAGGACTTCGACTATTCGCATTGAAAATAGTGTTCTTGGTTATCATCCAGACTTTATCAAGCACCACACAAGTTAGATATTCAAGCAAGTTCTTGTCTACCATCAAACAGTACTTGAGTTAGCTCGTAATGTTTTACTATTGGATCATCCTCTTTTCAGCGTATGCTAGCTACAATAGTTAGAGTGAGGATTAGGTGTATATGTCCAAATATGTGCAGGCTAAAATCTTTTATGAAAATACAATTACAGTGTACGAGTATACATATGAATCTGATCATTCAGAAATAAAGCCCACACATGACAACATCAATAAAGTGATAACAGCAATGGTCACTGACGGTACCTCTAATAGTGCGCCGCCAGTCATAATTTTCATACTTCTTAGCCTAGTACTACCACTAATTGCTTATCTTCTATACTATCGTCGATGTTTAGACAAGAGGAATATGAAGTCACAGTTTTGTCACATTTTTTCACGAGATAGTCATTCGGATTATGGTTATTTATGGAATTTGCTGACTGGTTATTCTATGTAAAGATGAAGAAAAACTGATTCAATCTTGTTAAGGAAGCAACAAAGTAAGTATCCATATTTATTACTGAATCAACAGGATGAACGAAATGATTCAAATAATGGCACATTATCTTGATAGTGATTAACATTTTTGTAAGTATAAAGTTGAAACTTAATATGATAAAATTGGTGATTTCAAAACTAATTTATCATCCATTATATTGAGTTCATTTGTTATTCTTAGCGAATATTATTCGAGAACTAGAGAAACTCCTATTTTTAAGAACAGTCTTAAGAGAAATACTGATGAGATAGTGTAAGATTCGTTGTCATTGTCACACTTTAGATTAATGTTCTATTTGGAATAATAATCGAAAAAATAGTTTAGATTCTATTTAAGATGATGATCGACATAGCTTCATCTTCTTCAAAAATTCTTTTTTTGTTGATTATTCGTTTAGATTGAAAACTTTTTTAGCTACTTTCTACATAATCTACGTGTACATTTCACACAAATTGTATGCTTATTAGAAGAAAAGTAACGTTCTTTATTGTCGTACTCGATTTACATTGTTTCACAAAATTCATCAGAAACAGTATTATCGTGAAGATACGTGTATTTGCTCTTATTAAAATTTTAATAAATTTAAAATATACTCAGTTTTCTTGAACATATACATTATCTTTCATGTAGTTCATTATCTAGCGGGAAAAGAATTGTGCACTCAGCATAAAGAAGTCCAATAAGAGATAATATTGACAGATTGTTGCAAATTGTCGAATAATTTAATCTGGAACGGGATAGATCGGTCGTTCACCTCTCAACACTCGTAAAATATCTTCAATAGCCTTGGTTCTCAGAGCTCGTTTTGATTCTTCAGTATACCAAGCCACATGAGGAGTGAGAAGTACATTGTCAAGTTTGACCAATTCTTCGTCAATATCAGGCTCGCCTTCGACAACATCGAGAGCAGCATAAGAAATTTGTCCATTTTTCAATGCTTGAACAAGTGCTTTTGTATCGATAAGACCACCTCGACTAACATTAATTAGAATCGGACAACGCTTCATCTGAGCAATCGAGTCAGATGAGATAAGATGATGATTCATTGTTGACATTGGAATATGCAGCGAGATAATATCACATTCTTCGAAAATCTCTTTCAAAGTATTTGTTGTCGAATTTTTCGAATTATGTGTCAATATTTGCTTGACGAAAGGGCGCATCTTATCTGCGAAACATGTTCCTATTCGTCCACAGCCAATAATGCCGAGTGTCATTGTATTCAATTCTTGTAACTTTCCAGCCACTTTATAATTCCATTGATGTTTTTCAACGATTGAATTGTGAAATGTCAATAAATGACGTTGAGCAGCGAAGAGAAGAGCAACTGCATGATCGGCTACAGTATTTGTGCCATAATCAGGTGTATAGCAAACCTCAATATCTCGATGGCGGCACATATTTACATCAATCTTTTCAAAACCAACGCCAAGTTTAGCGATGACTTTGACTGAAGAAGGTAGCTTAGAGACGAGTTGTGTAGTGATTGGCATGCGAACATTGATGATGGCCACAGTTGTGGGAGAAAGATGTGAGAGAAGATCGCCTTCTGAGTTTTCGATAAGTACTAGTTCGTAGGGTGTCGATTGAAGAAGATCCTTTTCAACAGTACAATCCTCGAAGACATTTTCCATGATGATCTGCTGCTTTGTTGGTTGTAATGTCATCTTAAATGGTAGAAGCAAAACGATCGAAGTGTGTTATACTAAGAAAATGATGGAAACATGCATTTATCGTATCTTGTTACTTGGTTTTTTTATTCTCACGTTTTTATCTGCCACACCGCGGTGATTGTGTTCTTTTGTGTCTTATCACTATCAATGGTCTGTGTCAGATGAAATAACAATCTCTTGAGAAACTGAGAGAGATTTTGCATCGTAGAAGTGCAGATAAGAACAGCTTCAACTCAGTCTAAAATGCTCTTTAGACACTCATTTTACATAGAAAACTGATCGAATCCAAAATAGAGAAAACTCTGTGATTCTAAACAACATTAATTACAACTGCTTAATCATATGATGAAAAATTTCAATAAAAATATACGTCCATATATTGATCGAACGAGTAAATTTGTAGCGCAAACTTCTCTTCATCCGATGCATATTTTACATGTCGTTTAGAACATTGAACAAAATGATGACAAAATACATAAAAATTGTGTAATTGAGTAATTTCTCAGTCAATCCTAAAGAAAGAGAATAAATAGTGTCGAAGAAAAATCACAACTGATAGAGGGCTATGCAGTGTTCTCTGAAGTCTGTTGAAGCAAAACATATCACTCTAATAGTTCTATTGATGTTATTTATCGATATGTAAGGGAGTTCCAAGACAATCAATATTGAGAAACGCAACATTTTTTTTTGCATCAAACTTGATAATCTTTCTCTTGCGACCAAAATATAACAGTTTTTCGCGAAGCGAAAAGTTTTAACATCTTTTCAGAATTTTTCTAGTAGAAAATTCCAAAAACCTTATTAATTTTGCCAGCTGACAATGAATAATTTTCAATTATTGTCGGGGTGTACCCTCTCCCCTCCCACTTTCGCGGAGCCTGCCCATACCCACACCCTTAACCAGCAACCCTCATATAAAATTGACCATTTGACAACTTTCATTTGAATAACTGTTAAAAAAATCATAAAGATCATCGAATCCCTAGGTTTCAAATAAACTGATCATTATGCGTTAAAAAGATATAAGGAGCATTATGAGTAAGCGATTTATCGATAAAATAAAATTCATCAAGTAGGTTTTAATACATAATTATGATACAAAAAAATTCTTTAAATAATGTCATTTTTTTAGTACACATAGTGCTAATACAAATGGATATAAAAGATTGTGTTCTTATACACAAAATATCGTTATTAATTCAACATAATAATTTCTGACATCTAAGCTAAATGCTTTTGGTTTTTCCACGTAGCATGTTTTCCTCATAGACTAAATATATTATACGAATACAAAAAAAGATCGTCATGTCAATGGAGTTTCTTCTGCAGTCGAGAACAGCAAATGTTACAATCGGGTATTTCAAGTGCTATGTAGTGTTGTCTCTCGAAGTAAAAGGCACAAGTAAGTTTCTTAAGTTTAAATGCTTTTCAAAAAAACTTGGTAATTATTTTTTCTTACGGTGTTATTTGAATGTTCAAAAATGATCGGTAATAATAAAAAATATGTATTATGAAGAGGGTATTAGTAAAATATGCTCCAACCCACTCCAACCACGGTTGAACTCGAAGATATTATCAATCGATAGAACTTCGAATTCTACACTCATGAGATCCCATTGCAAACTCCTCTAACTCATCATTGCCTTGATCTCAAAAAAGAAACTAATTTTTAACACACAAAAAAGTTTTTGAAGTCATTCTTCGATATATCTGAACTTATTTAACTTATGATTGCATTCCATGCTGTTCTTCAATGAGTTCTTCATTCTCTTCATCGATACCCACGCCCACCCATGCTCAAATCCTATCAACA